TCCACGCTTTGCCTGATGAAGGTCGCGAGACCAGAAACGCGTGTTCATTATTTCGCGTCCTCCATAGTTTGCCTGACTTTTCGACCAATCTGATGAATATTTATGACCGTTCTTAAATGTTTTCATTTTGAAAAAGCAATAACTTTTTTACTCTTTAATTAGGGAAAATGTAGCATAATATTTTTTTGAAAAAAAATTTACATTACAATCAAAAACGTCTGCGGTTTCTCTCTTCTTTTTAATATACACACCTTTCTCTCGTTTGAACTACTATAACATCTTCTCTTTTATATATATATATATATATATATATATATATATATATTATAAATTAATTGATTTAAAATATGGTTTTTCCGCTACACAGTAATTAAATTAAAGATACAATAAAATTTTTTAAAAAATCCAGACGACATGAATTTAACGGATGTCAGATTTCATTGAAGAATACATCCCTACCCCCTAACAAAACGTAGCTAATTACGGATACATTAAAATATAGACATATAGAACACGCAAACACCCCTGTCTAGTAGAAGTGAATTAATCTGTAACCTTGGAAACGTGAATTATGATTTTAGCTGTGTCTTTAAAACCTAGTAATTTTAAAAGTTACTCCAAAATTCGCTTGAGGATGAAATGGAACTAATGTCTTTAATTTAATTACAAAATTAAATTCGGACCTTCCATTTTTGAAACATGGTTAGAACTGTGTAGCGGAAAAACCATATTTTAAATCAATTAATTTATAATATCAATGCTCTGTAAATTTACATTGAGCACTATTTTGTAAAAATAGAAATATCTATAAGAACACCGGATTATATATCTTACTGTTCTTTCTTTTTATTTATATATACACGCATATATATATATGGTTAAGGCACGTCAGCGTATATGACGGTTCCGTATAGGATGCAGGTTCGAATCCTGTCTATGAACGAATATTTTCTATGAAAATTTCTCGGACATTCAGGCCGGTAAATGTTATTTAATACTGTTTATCATAAACAGAGCATTTGCTTAAATACTTGTATCTATAAAATAACAACGTTAAACATAAATAAAAATGTCTTTAATAAATATATATATATATATATATATATATATATATATATATATATATATATATAGTCATCCACAAACAGTCTGTTTCACTGTATCACAGCTCCTCAGTGTTGCTTCAAACCCAACTGATTTGACATCAGTCAGATATCTTACCCCTAGGCCATCGTCACACGTCAGAAAGGAAGGGAATTTTGACGTCTTTTCTCTATACGAAAATACCCTAGCAGATCGGAGAACTCAATTCAATTTACTTGAAGAGTAATGCTTAATAGCTCTGTTTTTAAAACCCACTTTCCCTAGAGCATATATATAGTTTCCGGGGGCATATGTATAATCATCCACAGACAGACTGTTTTGCTGAACCAGTGTGGCTAGACGTCCAATTGCTTCAAGCCGGGATATATATATATATATATATATATATATATATATATATATATATATATATATATATATATGAAGCAAAACAAAAGGAAAACATTTTAACCGATGTTTTTCGTCCTCTGAAGGACGATATCAAGGCAAGGATTTTATTTTTTTTAACAAGTATTTATATAGAAGAGTAAAAATGTTATTTGCTTTTTCAAAATGAAAACATTTAAGAACGGTTATAAATATTCACCAGATTGGTCGAAAAGTCAGGTAAAATATGGGGGACTATGGAGATTTTAATAGTTAAAAAAAATTCTCGCAGTAGATTTTAATAGTTAAAAAAAATTCTAGCAGTAGATTTTAATAGTTAAAAAAAATTCTAGCAGTAGATTTTAATAGTTAAAACAAATTCTAACAGTAGATTTTAAAAGTAAAAATAAATTACCAAAGCTCACAACAAAAATTAGTTCACTTGTTCACTCACACATTCTCATGCATAATCACATACATAAACAATTAAGAACAGTGTTTCCTGAATGTTGTAACTTTTCGTTGAAAGTATTTTAAACTATTAGCGATTTTTACTAAGGAAGATCATACGTGTAAAGAAAAAGGAAAAAATCAACGCTTTTTAAGACAGATGCTTTGTTGAGTAAATGGCTGCAGTATTTTTACCTTTTTTTAGTATAGCAGCCCGCCTTATGATGCACTTTACGACATGCAGCCCTCACGTACGAGAAAGATTACCCATGCCTAGACAAGTTCTTATTTTATTTAGTACTTCACAGTTATTGATTTTGGTTCGTTATAATTATTATTTCTTTTTTATTTGCCATTTGTTCCAATTATTTACCAAGTCTTTCAACTGAAACCAAACAGGAACGAACGATTTTCTTATGGAATTCTTGAAAAAGGCTCTCCACTTATAGGTTAGTTCTGGGTATGACGATAAACTACATCCGGCAACAAGGCACTCTGATCGGGAGATTGGAGTTTTTCAGAAGCGTGGGACCCCTTTTTGATTGCTGTTTTGCTCAGGTACATTATAACCAGAGGTGGTAGCACCTGTTAGGGTCCAAGCTATTGGAAATAGTGTATCCCCAAACAAAAATAAACACTATGAAAGTATAGAAATACATTTTTATAGTAAAAATACCAGCAATATATTTTATAGCATAATGACCAACAATACATTTTATCTGTAGGTGAAGCCATAAAATTGTTCAGAATATTTGGATTTAGCCATTAAATAACCCATAGAGGTGTTGATATGTCACTAAAGTCAGCCAACCAGCCACTTATAGGTAAACAGCATTAATATAACCTTTTGTATTCCAGATAAAGATGGATTTCTTGGAATTTTCTTAATGGGTATATATCAATATTCTTCTTAATTGTTTCTAGTGCTCCTATAACTACTGGAATAACAGTTGTGTTTAAATGCTTGTCATTTCTATATTTTCAAATACTTACTTTTGGAGAGTTTATCAAATTCTTTCGCTGATGTCGATAAGGTAGCCTTGGTTTGTATCTTTCGTGTAAATCGTATAGTGTGGGAACAAACCCAATATATCTATCATATACCATCATATCCAGAATCAACATCCCACCCTCAGCCAACTAGCAAATCTTTTAACTCCTTTCCTAGGAAACATCTATCTATTAAATACTCTGGGGATCTGATCCAAAGAGTAAAAAGCAGAGATATGGAAATCAAAATTAGGACAAGCCCAAATGTCAATCATTTCGCCAAAATACTAATTCTACAAAATACAGCTATCAAATCGAATAAAAACTCAAAGACGGGATGTGGCGTGTCTCTTCCTACTCTATTGCTACTACCACGCTAAGTGCTCGGACGAACTACATACCTTGATTCCGACAGGTTTAACCTTCACGGCTAGGACTCGCTATGCCTCTTACATAGTAGCAAATCACCCACATTCCCCCCGTATTCCATCAGCGAGAAGTAACTTCCACTCAAACAGCTTCTTCCAGCGAACCACTACTCTGTGGAACCGACTCCCAAGAGGATGTTTCCCCGAAATCTTAACCTGTTCATGTTTAGAGTTAAGCGTTATCTTCCCCATCTATTCGAATAAAATACCCCTTAATGTAATCGTCTGCCTCGAGTGGCTCCTGGGCCTTGTATAGGGTGAAATTTAGTGTAAAAAAATAAAATAAAACTTTTTTTTTTTAAAACCAGAAACAAATTACATTGTTTCTTTAATTTAATTTTGATTTTTTAATTTAATTTTTTTAATTAATTTAATTTTTTTAATTAATTTAATTATAGGTGGATTTTTTTTTTTTATCAGTCGAGAGGTTGTATCAATAAAAGTACAAATGGGATTTGCATAAGGTAAAAAAATATCAATGAAAAGCGTTCTTAAATTTAAAAATTTTAAATTTAAATTTTGAATTTTAAATTTAAATTTTAAATTTAAATGAAATTAAATTTAAATTTAAATTTTGAAAAAAAACATCACATTTGCCTTAATAAAGTCCGTTAGATGACGAAACGCGTCGGCTAAAAACTAAATATGGTTTTCCTTTTGTCTTTTCATCCATTTTGTCTCTACAGATATACTCCATCTGAGGATCTCACTCTCTCTCTCTCTCTCTCTCTCTCTCTCTCTCTCTCTCTCTCTCTCTCTCTCTCTATCTATCTATCTATCTGTGTTTGTCCGTCTGTCTGTGTATCTATCTATCTATCTATCTATCTATCTATGTGTCTGTCTGTTTCTATATATATATGTGTGTGTGTGTGTGTGTGTGTGTGTGTGTGTGTGTGTGTGTGTGTGTGTGAATTGCAATTAATGAGATCCAAAATTCCTGTTATTATTAAAATTTCCATCTCTTAACCAATAGAAATTAATTTTACTGCTTAAAAAATAATAAAAACAAAACAAAAATGTCAGGGACGCCTGCTCGGTACCAACATAGATAGATAGATAGATAGATAGATAGATAGATAGATAGATAGATAAAAAATTAACATGCTTAGATAGATAGATAGATAGATAGATAGATAGATAGATAGATAGATAGATAGATAGATAATGTTTATTTACACTATTTACATTGTTCGGACTGTTGTCCTCATCTTTGTTATCATACTGACGTTGTTTCGACCGTCGTACGTTCCGGCCTTTTTCAGGCGTTTGGAATTTTGAACTGAACCCTTTATTTCGTCCACCGGGGGTAGATTGTTCTAGTTCCACGTGCCATATCTCTTCCGGACAACGGCTAAAACGTTATTATTAGGGCAACAAAGGAGAGCAACAATCCGAACAATATAGTGTAAATAATTACAATACCTCATCTCAGCAGTATAGATATGCTTCTTTGTATTTTCCTACAACTGAGTGCCTTAGCACTAACTGTGATGATTTGGGACGCTAAACTACGCAATTGCAAAAATGAAAAAGAAAAACGACTTTCAGAATCAGTGAAATTTCACCGATTTCAAACATTTCTTCATTTAATGACAACAAAACCATTCCACGACATTGTTTTCTTTACTTTTATTTCAATGACTAAATTTATTCCATTTTCCGATGATTCATTGTCTGCTTCTTTTCATCTTCAGTCATTTTTTTTTCCTGGCTTTTATCTTTCCTTATGAACTTTGTTTGTTCTGCTTTATTTTTTAAGCGTTCTTCATTTTCCTTTTTCTACATTTTTTTTTCTCTCACTCTTTCCACCCTTCCCCCTCGATTTTGATTTTTCTTCATTTTTTTTTTTTTTTTTTGTTTGGCTTCGTTTGCTTCTTTCTCTTGTTAAATGTTAAATTATTTGGTTCAACGTGTCTCTTTTTTCTTTTCTTTTTTTTTCTTTCCTTTCCTTTCTTTTCTTTTCTTTCTTTTCTTCTATTTTTCTTTCTATTCACTGTTTATTTATTTCCTCCCAGGTATTTTTTTTTTTATTTTTATTTTTACCTTGGGAATTTATTGAAAATAATGCAAATATGCCTCCACCCCGCTATTTAACATCTCTCCAGGGCTTATTTAATTTTCTTCCTTTTTTTTTTTTCTTTTCCTTTTCTTATTTTTTTTAACGTTTCGTTTTTGTGTTGTGTTGTTTTTTTTTTCTATTTTTTTTTAGCCTCTTTCATCACGTCACGCACACCCGCGCACGCACATACCTCCTGTGTGCGTATGTCTGTATCGCATATTGTGTGTATCTGTCAGTCAATAAGGTGTTTTGTGTCTCAGCTCATGCTTTGTATGTATCAACAGATTATTTATTTATTTTAGTTTCGTCTTTCACTTGTTTGAGGCCGTCTTTTTATCTGTCAACCTCTCGCTCGTTTCACTCTTCTCGCCACACTATCTATCTATCTATCTATCTATCTATCTATCTATCTATCTACGTGTCTGTCTGTCTGTCTGTCTCTCTGTGTATCTATCTATCTATCTATCTATCTATCTATCTATCTATTTCAAGGCATTAATTATATCTATCTATCTATCTATCTGTCCGTCATCTGTGTGTCTATCTATCTATCTAGCTAGCTAGCTAGCTAGCTAGCTAGCTATCTGTCTGTGTGTCTGTCTCTCTGTGTGTCTATCTATCTATCTATCTATCTATCTATTTCAGGGCATTAATTATATCTGTCTATCTATCTACCATTTTAGGGCATTAATTATATCTATCTATCTATCTATCTATCTATCTATCTATATCAGAGCATTCATTATATCTGTCTGTCTGTCTATCTATCTATCTGTGTGTCCATCTGTCTATCTCTCTATCTAAGGGCATTCATAATATCTATCTATCTACTATTTCAGGGCATTCATTATATATATATATATCGGGGCGTTCATTATTTATTTATCTATATCAGGGTATTCATTATATCTATCACACTGTCTGTCTGTCTGTCTATCTATCTATCTATCTATCTATCTGGTTTAATCTCGCCTCGAGGTAGACTCACTTCTGCCCTAGTTTTTGGCTATGAAGGAGTTTACAATTTCGACGTTGATCCTTCAAAACAAAATATTTTTTATCCCCTTTTTTAATTTGTTTTAATTAATTTCTTAGTTTTATTTTTCAAATATCCAGAATTTGGATTATATTTAACCAGCATCACCAACAGAGCACCAAGTAATGAACATTTTTAATCCCTTAAGTATTTTATAGTCCAGTGCTATACCACTGAGCTAACTCTCTCAACGGTTATAACTCATGTAGTGAGCTTTTATCTTCATGTCGAGTTTAATGAAATTCGTATTCTGCGTTCCGTTTTAAAGACTTAGTTTTATTTTTATACGGTATGTACTTTTGGCCTTTAATTATTGATTTGCAGTTTATTCTTCTTTGTGGTTGTTTTTTGTTTTGTTTTGTTTTGTTTTTTTACCTGGTCTCACATTGCGCATTTTATAAGAAAGTTTAATACATTTTCGAGTGTTTTGGGGTAGTTGTACTGCAACCAGAAATAATCTTCTTTTTTTTTTCATATTATTAAGCATTCCAGACCCCGATTTATTTTTTAAGTTTATAAAAGTTAATACTAGGTCCTGATTGCCCTTGTAATGTAAAATGACCCCCCATACGAAAGCCAACAAGACAAGTATACTATTTTATTCTTTGTACGAAGTGATTTTTTTTAATTTAAAAACATTTTTATCTCATAATCTGGAGTGCTTAATCGATAGAAATATATGAAAATAGATATCCAAATTATGAATTTTAATTTCGGACCTTTTCTGTTAATTCACTCCAAATAATGTAAAGTTACTTATCGCAAATATTATTAAATTCATTCAGCCCAAGAAATATTAAATTTTTTAAACCAAACTTTGTTTTTTTATTAAATTTTGCAATCTTTTATTATAAATTTTAAATCATCGTTGACACTATATTAAATGATAAATTTTAAATCAAAATTTGTTTAACTGGCCTGAAGTTGCTGGTGTTGAAACAAGAATTCAGACAAGGAGAGTAGTGTTCGCTTTTACAGGGAGTCAATATTCTTTCTACGTCGATGAAATACTCCAATGAGTCCAAAAGGACATGATATGAGCTTTGAGTTTAAAAATAATGAATACATTTTTTAACATATTTTAAAGGACATTTCTGAATTTTGGTGTGAACTTTAGTAAATATAAATAAAATCCTTTTTTATTTTGAAGTGAATTAATAGAAACAATCCTCATTTTTTTTTTTTCTTTTCTTTTATAATTTTAATAATTTCTTTCATTTCTTTTCTATTTTTGATTTTTTTTCATTTTATGAGATCACGTGGTATGAGTATATTTTGTTTTTGGCTTTCGTAGGGGGATGAATTTCCATAGTAAACAGGACCCACACCCTATTAACTTTAATAATTTTTCTTTTTAATCAACGTGATATGGAGAGTTTAATCTTATTAAGTGATATAAGAAAAAATCGAAAGGAAATATAAATTCTAGTCGCTTCTCTTAATTATACAACATTAACAACAACATTTTTTTATCATCATCATCATCATCATCATTATTATTATCATCATCATCATCGTTATTATTATTATCATCATCATCATTATCATTAATATTATTATTATCATCATCATTATTATTATCATCATTATCATTATCATTATCATCATTATCATTATTATTATTATCATCAGCATCATCATTATCATTATTATTAATATTATTATTATCATCATTATCATTATCATCATTATCATTATTATTATCATCAGCATCATCATTATCATTATTATTAATATTATTATCATCATCATTATTATCATTATCATCATTATCATTATTATCATCATCATCATTATCATTATTATTATTATCATCATCATCATTATCATTATTATTATCATCATCATCATTGTCATTATTATTATCATCATTATCATTATTATCATCATCATCATTATCATTATTATTATTATCATCATCATCATTATCATTATTATTATCATCATCATCATTGTCATTATTATTATCATCATTATCATTATTATTATTATTATTATCATCATCATCATCATCATCATCATCATCATCATCATTATCATTATTATTCTTATTATTATCATCATCATTCGATTATCACTACCTTAAGTCTGCGGAAAGATCAGGTCGTGGTATGTTGTTATGGCCACATTTCATGTTAATTTTTTTTTTTTTTTTTTTTTTTTTTTTTTATCCGATGAATTGCTAGCGTTTATAGACAAAGTTTATTATTGTGCTGTACTTAATAAGACAATGTATGTCTCTTAAGCTGGGGTCTTTCAATGTGTTGTTTTGTTCCATTTTTATAATTCCAAGTGCACATCATTACCACTGGTATTAATTTCCACATTTTTTCTATTTCAATTTCCAGGTCTTTGTATTTTGATAGTTTTTCAATTCCTTTGGTTATTAACATATCAATTAGTAGGCAAGTTTTTTTTTTCTGGTTTTTGACAATTATTTGCTTCAATTGGATGGTATAATCCCACAGAATGGTGACATCTTCTATTTCTGTAACCGGCGCTGGCCGATGTTCATAAGTGTTTGCTTACACATTTTCCAAAGTGTTTGCACATTGTCCAAGTATTGCCCCACTCTATCGTGACGATTTTTATATTCATTTGGGGCAAGTATAGAACATCCTGAGATTAGATGGTCTATTGTTTCTTGGTATTTGTTGCATTTTGGATCCACATTATTATGTATGATATTTGCCTGAAAATTCCTAGTGAAAAGACTCTGGTCTTGCGCTGCAAGAATAAAGCCTTCAGTTTCAGACTTTAATCCAGATGCTCGTAACCATCGATGAGTATTAACTTTATCAACATTGGGTTTAAACGTTCTGGATATTGGCCATGCAGAGGTTTGTCTTGCCAGCGTTGTTTCATCTGTTCAAGGGCTTTATCCTTGGCTTTTTTTTCATCTTTCTTTGCTGCAATAGTTGGTTCTTGGCTTTGTTTTGATTTTACAGAATCTACTAAATGTAAATGTTGTTTGTATTTACTGCCTTCTTTTTTATTATTATTATTATTATTATTATTATTATTATTATTATTATTATTATTATTATTATTAAATAAAGGCGTTTAATTTTTAAAAGGAAATCCGGAAAAAATAAGAATAACCGTTAAAGACGTATTTTTTTAAATGTTATTTAGATGATGAATAGAAAAACATTTATGATGATTTTTTTTTTTTACTTGGACTCATATAGCGAATTTTATAAAACTTTTCAGTAACTTTTTTTTTCTTCTTTTTGAGTGTTTCATTTTTTAAAGAAAATAGAAAAAAAAAGAAACAGTAGCGACGAAATTGCCTTTAAGCCTGTTAAACTATAAATAGAAAAAACACTTTCAAGACCTAAGTTTTCGGAATTCATTTTAATTTCATTATTTAAATAAGTCGCCTTCGTTGGTAAACATAAACAAAAAATTAAAAAGTAAATAACTGGAAAAAAAAATAATTTAATATCTATTCGTAAAATATTAGTCGGGATTTTTATCAAAAAATTCTTTAAAGATATTTCTATTTTCTTTTTCTTTTCTTTTTTACACCGTTTTTGACGTGACAATGCTAAGACATCTGATTAGCATTGTTATGTCAAAAAGTTTTGGCATCATTATTTATACTTTATGCAGCATCATCCAGTCAACTTAAGAATTATTAATTTTTTTTTTATTTCCTTTGATTTCTGGTATGAACTCATTTCTTTCCAGGTTCTGGTCAGAGACCTAAGGTCAAAAATGACATCATGACATTTTCCACTGAGCAGTTTTGAAAAAAAAAATCACACAACACACATATTTTACATAGATAGAGTCCTTCGTAAGGTGTGGGCTGTATTTGTGAATACATTTTTTGTATTTATTTAAGGCATTGGCTACCAAGAATCCTTTCAATGAGTCTATTGGAACCTTTTCCAATCAATTCGAGGGCTCAAACTACAACTGGAATTGTTGATGTTCTTATATGCCACATTTTTGAGATTTCGATTTCAAGTTCCTTGTATCTCGATAGTTTTTTTGAAGATCTTCAAAGATACATTGAAGTCTGCAGGGACTGCCATGTCAATAAGGAGGCACATTTTGTCTTTGCGGTCTCTAATCACGATGTCTGGGCGATTAGCTTTCATTGTTCTGTCTATGTGTATTGTAAAGTCCCAATCATTATTATTATTATTATTATTATTATTATTATTATTATTGATTATTTTAATTCCTTGATTTCTGGTGTATACTCATTTTTTCCGGGTCCCAACCAGAGACCTAAGGTCAGAAATGGCATGACATTTTACCACTGATCATCTTTTGAGGGGAAATATCTATGATCACACACATTTTACATAAAGTACCTTATGGGCGATCAATTATTTGTATTTTTTAATGCGTGAGCTACCAGAATCCTTTTAATGAGTCTATCGGAACCTTTTCCAATCAACTGAAATTGTTGATGTCCTCACGTGCTGTATATTATTATTATTATTATTATTATTATTATTATTATTATTATTATTTGTGTATGTTATGTTTCCTGTTTTGAATCCTGTGGGATGTTACTAGCAGGGCGATCTTCTGGGCAAGTTATCTGTTGATGTTACTTGGGACACTTTTAGTAAAATTGTCCATTCCTTTTCTCACGAGGCCCAGAGATCCGATTACTATTGGTACAGTCTCAGTCCTTATTCCCCACATCCTGTTAATCTCGATCTCCACGTCCTTGTATTTGGACAATTTTTCGGTAATTTTTATGGTGGTGTTTCTCTCAGATGGTAGTGCTATGTCAATAAATATATACTTCCTGAATTTCTTGTCTTTTATGATAATATCAGGTTTTTTGGCTCTTGTTTCCCTGACAGTTTGAATTAGCGTGTCCCAGAGGATAGTTACATCGTTATTTTGGGTAATTGTATCTGGATGGTGCTCATACCATCTCTCAGTAGTTTCGATTTTGTGCTTCTTGCATATCTTCAAGTACACATATGTCGCTACTTCTTATGTCTGTGGGTATATTCATTGTTTGCCAGCTCCAGACAACCTGAAATAGTATGGTCAACAGTTTCATCATATTTTCCACAGATCCTGCATTTCGGGTTAGTTCCATCCTTGATTATATGAGAGTGAAAGGATCTGGCTGTGAGGCTTTGACCCTGATTATTATTATTATTATTATTATTATTATTATTTACACTAAGGTTCACATAGTACAAGCCTCTAGATCCATTCAAGTTAGAGGATTACGCTAAAAAAGTGTGATATTAATGAAAAAGATTTCCTTACGCTAAAGGTTCGCCCTATACAAGGCCCAAGCGCCACTCAGCTTAAAGGGCGTGCTGAATGAGGTTGTTGTATGGATGTAAGAAGAGGAGGAAGTAAGTACAGGTTATGAGGATATGTAGGATTAGAATTCTAGCGATCAGGAAAGTATCCTCATGGGAGTCTGTTTTACAGTGTAGTCGTTCTCGAGAAGAAGCTGTCTAGGTGAAACTGCCTTCTTACTAACAGAATACAAAAAGGATGATGCGGATTCGACTCTGCGTGCGTAACATGGCGGGTGCCTAGATGTAAAGGTCTGAATTGTGGAACTAAGGAATGTAGCACGTCTGAAATAAAAATCACGAAAATAAGGATGATAAATAACGACTGACCCGTGACTTAAAATTATTATTATTATTATTATTATTATTATTATTATTATTATTCACATTATTTACATTATTCGGACTATTGTCCTCATCTTTGAGAAAAGCGATAATAACAAAAAAAAATTGCAATATGAGCACTGGTAAAAAATGGATACTAAAGACATTAGGTTTATAATTCCCAGAAATTCATACACGGATGTCCTCATGGCACAGAGGATAAAGGCGTTAGTTATATCAAGTGACAGGACCCAAAGATTGTGAGTTCAATACCCGGTTAAGGCAGTGGAGAACTTGAAAAGGGGAATTAACAGGAGATAACTGATAACTGACATTCATTAAAACATGGCACATGGAACTAGAACAGTCTACCCCAGTGAGCGAAATAAAGGGTTCAGTTCGACATTCCAACCACCTGAAGAAGGCCGAAACGTACAACGGCCGAAACGTTGTAATAAATATGGCGACAAAGATGAGGAGAATAGTCCGAATAATGTAGATAGTGTACATAATACCTCATCTATTATTATTATTATTTCCTTTGATATCTGCTGTAGACATATTTTCATCCGGGTTCCAGCCAAAGACTTAAAGTCAGAAATGACTTCATGATCATTTTTGTAAAAATTAAAAATAAGTTCAAATATATCTTACATCGATAAAGCTCCTCGTAATGTTGTACTTGTGTGTACAATTTTTTTTTTATTTCTTTAAAGCATGGGCTACCAGGAATCCCTTCAATGAGCCTATCGGAATCTTTTCCAGTTAATCCGAAGGTGCCAAATCCAACTAGAATTATTGATGTCCTCATGTGCCAGATATTTTACATTTTTTTCAATAATACATTGCATTCTGCAAAGATTTCCATGTCAATAAATAAAGCGAATTCTGTTCTTGTGGTCATAGATCATGATGTCTGGGCGATTAGCTTTGATTGCCCTGTCAGTGTGCATTGTAACGTCCCATAAAATTATTACAGGTCCTATCTCTGTAACCGGGCCTGGGTTATGTTCATACCAGTTTCTTGCAGTTTCCTTGCCGTAAAAGTGGCATATGTTCCAGTGCATATATCGGTCCATCACATTATCATGCCGAGTTTTATATTCAATTGGTGCTAACACCGTGCAACCTGATACAAGATGGTCAATTGTTTCTGGGTATTTATCACAAAATCTGCATTTGGGGTCAACACAATTTTTCAGTATGTGTCCTAGCCAATTTCTAGTTAGCTAGCATTGGTCCTGTGCAGCAAGAATAAAACCTCCCCCAGGTAGGGGATTTTGTTGTTGTTTTATTTCCTTTGATTTCTGGTGTGTACTCATTTTTTCTCGGTCCCGACCAGTGACCTAAGGTCAGAAATGGCAACATGACATTTTCTACTGAGCAATTAAAAACACACATATATTTCACATAGATAAAGCCCTCCGTAATGTGTGGGCTGTACCTGTGAAAACAATTTCAATTGTATTTCTTTAAGGCATGGGCTACCAGGAATCCCTTCAATGGGTCTACGGGAATCTTTTCCAATCAATTCGAGGGCTCTAACTACAACAGGATTGTTGATGTTCCCATATGCCACATTTTCGAGATTTCGATTTAAAGGTCCTTGTATTTTGATAGCTTTTTGAAGACGTTCAAAGATATATTGCAGTCTGCAGGGACTGCCATGTCAATAAGGTGTTACATTTTGGATTCACGGTCTCTTTGTTTTTGTTGTTGTTTTGTTGTCGTTATTTTGTTTTTGTCATCATTGAATTACTTGAGTCGCAAAAAATAAATTAGCATTGTCAGAAAGTGACTTAACCGCCAATATATGATTTTTTAAAAAAGATGCAGATAAAAGATCACACAAAAATAACTATTTTAATATTGTTTTTATAGTTAATAAAACAAAACAAAAACATCAAGTTAAATTTAATACTGAACCCCCCCTCCCAACAAAAAAACCCATCACAAAATATATATGGTCACAATGAAATTTACAAATAACTTCAATGCCCAATGACACTGAAACCCAATATTGTCAGGAGGAATTTCCTTTGACCACATTTTTATTTATTTATTTCAATTATTTTTATTTTTGTTAAGAAAATTTTGTAAAATGTAACCATGTTGCAAACAAACATGGTGGCTAAAAATCTCCCTCTCGGGTTTCACAGAAAGTCCCCTGCTTATAGGGACTTAATAATTAACTGCAATCAAATAAATTAACAATATTACGAACTTATACGGTGTTAAATTTCAACTCTAATTAATTCCCACCAAATATAAAATCTCATTCTAGTCTCAAAATTATGATAGACGAACCTATGTCCATTCGTCTCTCAACTATAGATAAACTCTAGAAACAGATTAAAATAAAATTCAAAACATCGCCTGCTACAAACAGTTTGTCAGTCGTTATTTCACCTCACAAACATTCTAAAATTTCTTAACCCTTTTTTATTCAAATTTAGGAAATAAATTAATTCCTTATTTATTTATTAAACGGACTTCTTTTCAGGCAACAGCACATGAGAAAATATTTATAAGTTTCGGTTCGAAAAAAAAATATCTATGTAAAATATGTGTTGTTTTTGTTTTTGTTTTTTGTTTTTAAAAAAAACAAAATTGCCGTTTGGAAAATGTCATGATGTCATTTCTGACCTTAGGTCTCTGGACGGGACAAAGAAAGGAATCAGTACACACCAGAAATCAAAGGAAATAATAATAATAATAATAATAATAATAATAATAATAATGACAATACAAATAGTAATAGTCGTAATAATAAAAATAATAGTAGTAGTAGTAATAATAATAATAGTAGTAGTAGTAGTAATAGTAATAATAGTAGTAGTAACAATAATAATAGTAATAGTAATAATAAAAATAGTAGTAGTCGTAGTAGTAATAATAATAGTAGTAGTAGTAACAATAATAATAGTAATAGTATTAATAATAAAAATAGTAGTAGTAGTAGTAGTAGTAGTAGTAATAATAATAATAATAATAATAATAATAATAATAAAGAAAAGAATCATTTAATTGGGGCGTGTAAAAACTATCCCACCCAAAGGTTTACTGATTTCTATATGTGCGAAAACTGATTGCATAAGTAAAAAAAATACCATCTTTTTTCTTACATATAATTAGACACTTTTCTTTCTTTTTTCTTTCTTTCTTTCTTTTTCTTTCTTTCTGTCTTTCTTTTTTCTTTCTATTTTTTTCATGTATTTCTTTTTTTTTAGCCATCAATTCTTTCTTCGATTTTCATTTGCTTAAAGAGAGAAGAAATTCTTTAAAAATCCCATTCTTTCCCTCAAGATAAGAATTTACGTATCTTTTCTGACACTTATAAATCAGAAACAATTTTTTTTTTGAATTCCGCTACCATTAGGTTCGTTAATGATGAAAAATAAATAAAAATAAAAAGGCATTTACGCAAAACAAATAATAATTTATTTTTTGTGTCTCTTTTCTTTGTAACATACTTAACCCGCCGCCTCTCTGAATAATCGATTCAAACAGAGTAAATTTCAGAATAAAACTCAGCTGACAACTGTATCAGGCTACAGACTTATTGATTCATTTTCTTGAGCGATGGGTGAGGTGGCGGGGGCTTACGTCATTATCAAAACCGAAATAATTCACTTTTCTATAAAATGAAAAGCATACGACATGGGTTTTTAAACCAAACTTGTAATTCCAGTGTCATATACGCATACATACACATATATACACATATATATAGACTACAGTTCAAATGTTTGCGTGTAACCCTGGTAATTTTTTAAATTGACCCCAAAAGTAGTTGCTTTGCACTTTAAATAAGAAAATTTATTATACTTGATTAAAAAAAAACGTGTGACATGATTTTTATGACAAATTTTATTATTACAAAAAGACAAAAAACATTTTGTGATTAAATTTTGCTCTCGTCAAACTATCCTCCTTTAGTCTTGATTATTTCAGCACAGTTTTTTGGCATTCGTTGCAAAAGTTTCTCAAAGTTTGATAATTGATTCTATTCTTTTGTTAATGACACTAAGAGCTCTTTTTTCATTTTTTGGGATGGAAAGGTTTCACTTTTCTATCAAGTTAATCCCATGCTAATTCTGGGGGTGGCTTCAAACTTTTGAACTGTAGTATATATATATATATATATATATATATATATATATATATATCCAGGTAAGATGAGAACGAATAGAGTACAATTCCAACGTTCGTAAAATTTAATTTAAAAGAGACAATCACCTGATGAGATGCATTGATACGCATTGCAATTGTGTAGCTATTTTGTCATGTTTTTCGATGTAATATCACAAAATAATATATATATATATATATATATATATATATATATATATATATATATATATATATATATATATATATATATATATATATATATTCAGGTAAGATGAGAACGAATAGAGTACAATTCCAACGTTCGTAAAATTTAATTTAAAAGAGACAATCACCTGATGAGATGCATTCATACGCATTGCAATTGTGTAGCTATTTTGTCATGTTTTCGATGTAATATCACAAAAATATATATATATATATATATATATATATATATATATATATATATATATATATATATATATCCAGGTAAAGATGAGAACGAATAGAGTACAATTCCAACGTTCGTAACATTTAATTTAAAAGAGAGCTCAGTACAAAGTAGAGCAATATTCTTTATTGTAGGATAATACATCGAAATCATGACAGAAACGCTACACAATTGCAGTCCTGTTTCGATGCGAATCGACGCATCTCGTCAGGCGATTATACAAACTACTGGCAAGTAAACGATTTATAAATGAGCGGAAAGATGAAAGAGTAATCAGGAGGACAGTAGATAGCTATTAACATTGCATTTAAAGTTTGACAATTGAATTTCATTCTATTTTTTTCAATCACCATAAGAGCTCTTTTTCATTTTTTCCCGCGCTTTTCTATCAAATTCATTCCATTCTAATTTTGGGCGTCGCTTCAAACCTTTGATCTGTAGTGTAGGTACATCAGAAAGTCTGTAGCTTAATGAGCTTTTCGCAAGAATTTTTTTTTCAAAATAGTCTCTGACATATCAATGGTGATTTTCTTAGCGTAATTTAAATGTGGCACGAAGCCGAAAATATGATGCATTCCGTGAGGATCGAACTCACTATTAAGTCGTAATTGATCTAGCGAGACAAGCTTGTTAACCACTACACCAACAAGAAGTGCCCTCTCTTATTTATCAATGCACTTAATTCAATGGGAAATATTAATCGTATCGATCAAACATTATACAGTGAGAATTTTAGATCGAAATTCAAATAATAACTACATATCAGGCTAGATATTTATTGATCCAGGCGTCTACAACAGGAGTAGGCGAGCCGATAGGTGCATACGGAAAGAAAAAAATAGACATAATGCACTTCGTTACTTTCAAGCGTTATCATAGCGGACACTTCGTATTTGAAATAGACGTCCCATTTTTATTTATTAAACAATATGTATTGCGTCCATCAGCTGACGTAATCGATAAATCGAAAATGGTCTCTCTGGCAGGGATCGAACATTTAGAGGGTGAAACTACCGTTTTATCCAGCGCGCTTTGCCCGAAGAAGCAAGAATTTATTTTCCCCTTTTTAAGAAAATCACATCTTCAATCAGATTAATTTTGTGGAAATCACATCCGTTCGGTCTCGTATCCAAAATAAGATTAAACAATAAATCTTCAAAATATATATATATATATATATATATATATATATATGTATATTTAAATAAAAAGAAAGAGCAGTAAGATATGTAATCCGATGTTCTTATTGATATTTTTATTTTTTACAAAATAGTGCTCAATGTAAATTTAGAGAGCATTAAATATATATATATATATATATATATATATATATATGGGGTGTATGTGTATATGTGTGTGTGTGTGCGTGTGTGTGTGTGTGTGTGTGTAGAATATAAAAGTGAACATTGAAGTCAACCCTCAGAGGCGACAGACTGTTTCATGCTAAACGGCAATGTCCACTTTTTATATTTTATATTTACATTTATCTCTGGTAGTGTGAACTTTATACCATAAATATAGCATACCTTAAAACTATATTTCTTCATATATATATATATATATATATATATATATATATATATATATATATATATATATATATATATATATATATATATATATATATATATATATATATATATTATATATATATATATATATACATATATATATATATATATATATATATATATATATATATTCATATATATACATATAAATCAATATATACATATATATTCATATATATATATATATATATATACATACATATATATTTATATATATATATACATATATATTCATATATATATATATATATATATATATATATATATATATACGTATGTATTTCTTTTATATATATATATGTAATTATATATGTATTTTTTATTTTCTTTCACATATTGTTATATATTTGTACTCGTATATCTGTACTTCTGCGTATATAAGTATATATGAGATATTTATATAAGTGTTACATTTTGCCTGGACATTTAAATTTGGTATTTTCCTATGTGACTATATGAGTATATATTTATTTTTCTATCCATTTCTATATATTTTAGTGTCCTTTTTCCTTCTGTTGTTCATTGACGAATATTTGTTTTTCTATTTTACCCATATTTAATTTTATCTTTTCAACATTTTTATCTTTATATATTTGCCCATATAAATTATATTTTACTAGTATGTTAAAATTCGTTTACTAACACTTTCAAATTTGAATATTTCTTCGTATGTATAGGTGTGTATCTTTATAAATGTATGTGTGTATAATCGCTTATATGTGCCTTTCAGTGTATGTATATGTTATCGGATTTATTTTTACGAGTTGTGGACATCTATTTCCTATTTCGTCGCTTTTTTGCGTGTTTATATACATAAATATGTCTACGTGTTTGTATATTATAATCTGATTGTGTATGTATTGTCTTCACCCTCCCCTATCATCACTTCAAATGTATCTATGTTGTAACGGAGCTCAGAGCAACATTAGATTTCAACGTTTATTCCAACTTAATTTTTGGCCTTTCAATAAAAACAAAATAAATAACAAAAATACAAAAATATGTATTTTTCCTCAGTTTCTTCTTTAAATAATTTTATAATTTTTTAAACTTAATAGTGATTAAATTTAAGATTTAAAACTGTTATTTTTAAATTTTAAATTTTATAGTATAATTTAATTTTAATTAGTTAGAATGAATTCTATTTTAGTCTAACCCTAACATAAAAGCATTAATTAATTATTATAACCAAAGTTCGTTGTCAAGATTCTTGTATTTTGATTGGTCATTTCAGCTTATGTAACACCGTTTCCCCTAGCGAGGGGTGTTTGATTGATTATTAACTGTTTATTCTACATTCAACACCATCACTTGACAAGACACCAGAAGTGTTGAAACAAAATGGCTATTTTTGTGGTGATTTTATGACATATTTATGTTATAATTTTCGAATAAATAATTATATTTGCTCTACTCTATATTGAGCACATTTTTAGGAATAGTATTTTTTTATTGTTGGCATTTATTCCGTATAAACCAATCCTATACTTGGATTTGGTACATATATATATATATATATATATATATATATATATATATATATATATATATATATATATATAGACTAGACTAGACTTTTCTAGCACTTGGATAAATGTCAGTAAATATTAAAATATATATATATATATATATATATATATATATATATATATATATATATATATATATATATATAGCTTTTTTGAGAAAAGTGTTTATGTTTTGGGAATTTTATTATCCATGCCAATCCTGTACTTGTACATATATATATATATATATATATATAAAACAGATAACGATATATATTTTTATATATCACGAACAATATTGCGGAAAAATGTATGACTAAGTGGAAAAAGTTTTACTTTGTCATAAATATATATATATATATATATATGTGTGTGTGTGTGTGTGTGTGTGTATATAAACACACAAACATATGTTTGTCTACACACATGCACACATATACACCCGTATATATATGTGTGATAGATAGATAGATAGATAGATAGATAGATAGATAGATAGATAGATAGATAGATAATGAGCAGATTGTAATAGATAGATAGATAGATAGATAGATAGATAGATAGATAGATAGATAGATAGATAGATAGATAGATATACAGATATATAAGCAGATGTTTTCTCATGTTTGCTGACATTTATTCAAATGCCAGAGAAGTTTATATAAAT